GTGCCTCCTCCTCCTCCTCCCCCTATCCCTCCTCCTCCTCCTCCTCCTCCTCCTCCTCCTCCTCCTTCTCCTTCTCCTCCTTTTCTTCCCTCTCATCCTCCTCGACCGCGTATCCTGGTCCAGACTGAGTGATGCGCAGGAGCGGAGGAGGGGGAATATGCAGAAGGAGGAGGACGAGGCGGAGAACGTTAGGGAAGGAGGAGCCAAGGAGGAAAAGGAGGAGGACGAAGACGACGACGCGGACGAGCAAAAGGAGGAGGAGGAGGAGCAGCAGCAGCAGCAGCAACAACATGAGGACGCCGACGAGGAGGAGCAGAAGGAGGAGGAGGATGAGGAGGAGCCGCAGTGGCAGCAGTGAGGCCAGCAGCGGCGGGAGCGTTTTGACGGGGAGCAGCGGGCGGAACCGGAGCAATAAAGTAGGGGGCACCTGATCAAAAAGAAGTGGTTGCCATCGTGGACCCCGAACAGCAGGTCGTTGCACGGCGGATCTCTAGGCTGTGTGGTACAAGCTAGGTGGTATTAGCTATGTCACATATTTTGTGCAAGCCCGCGTGGTGCAGCTAACACTGGTGAAGACCTTGAGGCCGCCCACCCCGCTGCTCGAGCAGTCGTCCCACCCCACCACCCGCAGCTTGCTTGGCAAAACCCATTCGATCACGATTACGGCTGAAGATTGGCACTGGCTGGAGCATACCTGCGGCCGCGCGGGCGCGCGCAAGCTCGCACGTGGAGCGGCCAGCTGGTTTAGCACAACTGCTGCGGCCGCGATGGCGCGTGCCGGTGAGACTTTGCAGCGCGTCTCGGAGGCCGCGCTGGCGCTCGGGCACTTCAGTGCGGGTCGGTCACTCGGGCGGGCGCGATATCATGATGACGTCGGCAACGGAGGCGTATGATGTTATCGAGATGAAGATGACTACAGGACAAGGCCAGTGACAGCGCCGATGCTGGTGACGACGACGACAAGGATGATGTTCATGTATCGGTGATGAAGATGATTGACTGATGATGGCGGCAATGGCGGCGATTGACCATGACGATAACAGTGGGGACGCGATGGCGCCGATGAGGGTGATGGTGAGAAAGTCAGCGCGGGCAGAACTTCAAGAAACCTGGCAGACTTTCTGTGGAAACGTCTGATGGTTGTTCGTTGCATCTTCTCTTGACGAGCTCTGTCTTGAAGTGATTCGAGAACCTAACGGCTTTGAAGGGATCTCGGCGCGCGAGCGTGGCGGCGCGCGCGTGGCCCACATGGCATCATGAGATGCGGATTCGTGCACTCGGCGCAGGCTGGATCAACGCGCAAGCACCGCGTGGTGCAATGATAGTGTGGGATCTGGACGGGACTGCTGGCATCATACTGTCTTCGTACAGTTTCAGCAAATGCGTGCGGGCAGAGAATCTGCAAACTTTGCAATGAAACACCTGTGGGAGTTTGATGCTGGTATGTTGAAGAGCCTGCACAACTGAAGCGTTCGGTATGATTTTGACATGTGCACGCGTGTGTGGACCTTGTGCAGTTGGTTGCACTGGTTCATTGAAAAATGGTAGCCAGCGTGGACACCAAACAGTGACTTTATTGCAACATATGCGGTGCAATCAAGGTGGTACAACACAATGTGGTGCAATCTAGATGGTGCAATCCATGTGGTGCAATCTATGGTGTGCAAAGCAATGCAGAGCAATGCAAATCAATGCAAGGCAATGCAAACCAATGCAAGGCAATGCAAACCAATGCAAAGCAAGGCGAAGCAATGCAGAGCAACGCAACGCAAAGCAAGGCAATGCAATGCACAGCAATGCAATGCAATGCAATGCAATGCAACGCAATGCAAAACAATGCAAAGCAATGCAATGCAATGCAAAGCAAAGTGCGAGCCTCGCAAAACATCGAAACCGCGACCACAATTGGTGCGGCGACGGACGGCGGCGACGGCCGGCCACAAGCCGGCCAGACCGGCGCACAAACCCAGTTGCGAGCCTCGCACGATCAAAACCGTGACCAAAATGGTGCTGCAACGGGCGGCGGCGACTGGCGGCGACGGGCGGCCACAAGCCAGCCAGACCGGCCCACAGTCTCAGTTGCGAACCTCGCACAATCAGAATCGTAACCAAAATGGTGCTGCGACGGGCGGCGGCGACGGGCGGCAATGTGGCGCAAGCAATGCGGCGCAAGCTATGTGGCGCCTTTGTCATGCAAGCTGTGGTGTCCGCCTTGTGGCCGCCCACCGCAAGGTGCGCCCACGACTGGGCACCGACCGGGCACTGGGCGAAAGCCCGGCAAGCCCACCCTGCACAAGGTGCGCCCACGACTGGGCACCAAGCGGGCACCAGCCGAAACCCGACACACACCCACCCAGTGCAAGAGGCGCCCACGAGGCGCCCACACCCCGGGCACCATCCAGGCACCAGGCGAAACCCCAGCAAACCCACACAGCGCAGAAGGCGCCCACGAGGCGCCCACGGCCAGGCACAAACCTGGCGCCAGGCGAAAAAAGGGCAAACCCAGGCCGATTCCCCGGGCAACCTCAGCGAGAGCACGGCCTGGGGAAATTACAGAAATGATGTATCTCCGCGTCCCGCGCAGCGTGGCCAGCGACTGCAACCGCGGCGGGAGGAGGAGGAGGAGGAGGAGGAGGAGGAGGAGGAGGAGGAGGAAGGAGGAGAGGAGGAAGGAGGAGGAGGAGGGGGAGGAGGAGGAGGAGGAGGAGGAGGCGGAGGAGGAGGAGTGGCGAAGACTTCGACCGCCCGCGGGGAGGGCGGCGGCGGGGCCCGCCCTTGAGGAGGCTGTCCGCCACGGTGCTTCCCGCGGCCGCGAACGCCACCGCGAGCACGCCTGCCGCCGCGGAGACGCTGGCTCGGAGCGGCGCCGTCGTCGCCGCCGCCACCGCGGCAGGGGCCGTCGCCGTCGCCGTCCGTCGGCTCCCCTGCCGTCTTCTCGCGTCATGGCTTGTGTGGAGGGCAGAGAATCCACCCCGATAAGAACCACCCCACACGCGAAGCCGTTCAGTGAACGCACCCAAAGAAGGCATCAAACCAGAGCAAGGCTGTTTCGTAAACGCCCGGGGCCGTTTCGGAAACGCCAGCTGTCCAGGTGGTTTTTCCTCCCTTAATCTTCGTTCCCCAAACAGTGCCTGCACTTAGGGGTTCTCACTTCTCCTCTGAGGAGCTGGGCCGTGTGGGCGGTCTGGCGGCCATGTTCCGGCCGTCGCCGTCGCGTCGCCGCCCGTCGTCTGGACCGTATGGGCGGTCTGGCGGCTATGTTCCGACCGTCGCCGCCCCGTCGCCGCCCCGTCGCCGCCTGGTCGCCGCACGTGGTCTGGGCCGTTTGGGCGGTCTGGCGGCTATGTGGCCGCCCCACACGAAGTGCACAACATAAATTGCACAACATATCTGGCACAACGTAAACTTCACCGCATAAATTGCACCGCATAGACTGCGCACCTCATAGATCGCACAACATGTATTGCATCACATGGAGTGCACCACGTAGGTTGCATCACATATATTGCACTACACATATTCCACAGCATAGATTGCAGACCACATGTTGCACAACATTGATTCTCCTTTCTAAGAAGAAAATAGACTCTACCCCCCCCCCCCCGGACTTAACGCTTCCCCCTGGGATAATATAATTCCACATATATATACATATGTATATATATATATATATATATATATATATATGTGTGTGTTTATATATAGATATATTCTGCACACTCGTCCATCCTAAAATATGGAATCATACCATCCCAGGCAGGCCGGTTTCCCCCCCCCCGAGGTTCCCTTTTTTTTTAAAAAATGTGTTGGAAAAAAACACTATGCAGTGACATGTTTTGTTCTAACATAGCACTTTTTATCGCGAACCCCTTGCAAAAACACGAGACGAAGTGCACACGCGCGCGTCGTCGCGCGCGCATGCCGAAATCCTTCAAAAACCTTCGGTGCCGGATGGATTTCGCAATCGAGCTTCCCAAAAAAAATACAAAAACACATGGTTTCGCAACACTGATTTGCTAAAAAAGCTTCCGTGCGAGCTCTTGCGAAATCTTAAGACAACCATAGGTTTTTCAAGATTTTCACAAAATGCTACCAAACGGGTTTCGCTCGCGCGCATGTCGAAATCTGTCGAACGCCCTTGCGCGTGTGCCGTCGCGAGAATCCTCTGCAAAAAATGGGACGAAGTACAGACGCGCGCGTGGTCGCGCGCGTACGCCGAAATCCTTCAAAACCCATCGGTTTCGGAAGGATTTCGAAATCGCGCGTCCAAAAAACTTACAAAAACCCAAGGTTTCGCAACACGCATTTTCAACAAAAGCGTGCGCGCGCGCTCTTGCGTCGTCGTCGTCGACGTCGTCGCCGTCCTCCCTCCTCCCGCGTCGTTGTCGTCGTCGCCGTCGCCTACGTCGTCCTCTGTCTTTCCTCGTGTTCGTCGTCGTCGTCCTCTTTGGCGTCGTGGTCGTTTCCGTCGTCGTTGTCGCCGTGGTCGTCCTTCCTCCTCCTCCCTCGTCGTCGTCGTCGTCCGTCGTCGGCGTCTCGTCGTCGTCCCTCCTATTTCGTCGCCGTCGTCGTCGTCGTCGTTGTCGTCGTCGTCTTCCCTCCTCCCTCGTCGTTGCCGTCGTCGGCGTCGCCGTCCTTCCTCCTTCTTCGTCGTTCGCGTCGTCGCCGTCCTCCCTCCTCCCTCGTCGTTGTCGTCGTTGTCGCCGTTGTCGCCTTCGTCGTCCTCCCTCCTCCCTCGTCGTCGTCTTCGTTGGCGACGTCGTCGTCGTCTTCGTCGTCGTCGGCGTCGGCGTCGTCGTCGTCTTCGTCGTCGTTGTCGGCGTCGTCGTCGTCGCCGCCGTCGTCGTCATTGTCGTCGTCGTCGTCGGCGTCGTTGACGTCGTCGTCGTCGTCGGCATCGTCGTTGTCGTCGTCGTCGGCGTCGTCATCGTCGTCGTCGTTGTCATCGTCGTCGTCGTCGTCGGCGCGTCGGCGTCGTCGGTGTCGTCGTCGTCGTCGTCGTCGTCGTCGTTGTCGGCGTCGTCGAAGTCGTTGGAGACATCGTCGGTGTCGTCGTAGTCGTTGTCGGCGGCGTCGTCGTCGTCGTTGTCGCTGTCGTCGTCGGCGTCGCTGTCGTTGGCAAGTGCCATGTGGTACCCACCGTCACGGTCTTAAGAGATTTTGCGAACCAAGTTGCGGGTGGGTGGGTGGGATGTTTGCGCGAGCAGTGGAGTGGTCAAGCGCGGTGCAGGGTAGTCAATTGCACCACATATATTGTACCACGTATATTGCTCTACACATATTGCACAACACGTATTGCGCATCAGCGATGGCGCCATATTTATGCATATATATATATATATATATATATATATATATATATATATATATATATATAACACTAGAACCATCGCGCGCTTCGCGCGCGCTTAAGTTCTAGCTAGCTTCTTGGGGCCTCCTCGGAGCATCCTGGACTGCTTCTTGAACTCGTCATGGGACCTTCTTGGCATGTCTTCGGGGGCCTCTTAGAAAGAGTTTTGAAGCCTTTTGGGTGCCATCTTTAGGCGTCTTGGAGCCTCTTTTGGGATTCTCTGGGGCCTCTTGGGGCCTCTTGGGGGCTTCCTGGGGGCATCTTGGGGCCTCTTGGGGGCGCGGAGATTTTGATTTTTCAGTTCGCGTTCCCTCTCTTGGGCCCCTCTTGGGGCCTTCTTGGGACCCTCTTGCGCCGTCTTGGGCGGCTCTGGGGCCGTCTCGGGGCTCTCTCGGGCCGTCCTGGGGCTCTCTTGGGCCGTCTTGCAGCGGTTTTGGGAGCCTCTCGGGCGGTGCTTTATCGCCGGAAACACGCAACAGCGAGAATGCCAAAAACATTGGAAAAAAAACAGCGGAAATTCAAGATGTTGCCCTCTCGGGGCGCTCTTGGGCGGCATCTTAAAGGCCTCTTGGGGCGTCTTGGGGGCCTCTGGGACCCCTAGACGGCGTCTTAGGGGTGTCTCGAGACCGCCTGGGGCCGCCGGGATTGCTGTCTGAGGGCTCCCCAGGGCGATTTTAAGCCTCCCAAAGGCGGGCCCGGGCCCCGGGCCCCACATTTGTGGTCGTGGTCCCGGCCCCCGACCCCCGGACCTGGTCCCCCGTTATATGTATACCACATACATTCAACAACCTAGATTGCGCAACCCAAACTGCTCCACATATATTGTATCACATAAATTGCACCACATCGATTGCCTGCTATTTTGTAACACATAGATTGCACGACACAGATCGTCCAACATAAATTGCACAGCATGGATTGCTCCACTTTGATTGAACCACAACGGTCGCACCACAAAGAGTGCACAGCACTGACTGCACACCATGGATTACACAACACAGGTTGCACCACATGGACTGCACCGCAAACATTGGGCCATATCTAGCACACAGCATCCGCCGCCGTGCCCGCTGGGCACGGCGTGGGCACGTCCTCAGGTCCTTTGCCCAGGAGGAGGAGGAGGAGGAGGAGGAGGAGGAGAAGGAGGAGGAGGCGGAGGGGGAGGAGGAGCAGGAGGAAGGAAGGGGAGCAGGAGGAGGGGCAGGAGGAGGAGCCTTAGTCCTCACTCCTGAGGAATCTTGAAGGGCACCAGACCCCAAATTGACACATCTCCCACGCCTTCCCGCGTTGTCCCCTGGGGGTCGGGGAGGTCTTGTCGCACTGCGCGTTCGGACCAATACGGCCCCAAGAGACCCCAAGAGGCCCAAACGGCCCCAAGAGGCCCAAGAAGGCCTCAAGACGGGCCCAAACGGCCCCGAAGACGGCCCCGAAGACGGCCCAGATGGGCGTGGAGTCGCCGACAAATCGCTCCAAGACGCTTGAGATGGCGCCAAGACGGCCCGAGGTCTCCAACACGCCATAGAGGCCTCCAAGAGGCCTCCCAAGAAGCATAGGACATTGTCTTGTTTGTTCCTGAGGTGTTTGGAAGATTTGGGCGTTCTCGCCTCGGCTTCCCGACGCTCGAAAACGGCCCAAGAGGCCCCCAATACCACCCCAAGGCGGCCCAAGAGGGCTCCAAATGGGTACATGGACGGCCTGAGAGCGCTCCAAGGCAGCCCAAGAAGCGCCTGAGACGGCCCCAAAGGGCCCAAGACGACCCCCAAAGGGGCCCAAGAGAGGGAACACGATCGAAAAATCTGAGCCTTCAGACCCAAGAGGCCGCCAGGAGGCCCCAAATAGCGCCCAAGAGGCCCCAACAGGCCGCCAAGAGGCCCCCAGGAGGCCCCAAGAGGCCCCGAGAGGCCCAAAAGAGGCCCCACGAGGCTTCACAACTGCCTCCAAGAAGCCCCCCCTAGAGGCCCCCCACGAGATCCCAACGGCCATCCAATGGGCTTCAACCCACAACCCAGGCACGGTGGCTGGATGGGCCGACGACCATTAAATATATTCTCCTTTCTTAAATGAAATTATAGTATACTCCCATCACCCCCTAAAGTTATCCGTCACACGTTTCGATTGGAAAATCAGATACCTATAGGACCACCCTTCGGATGACCAGGAGGTTGTGGGGGGGAGAAGGGGGGACCAACATCTGACTCAATCGATCCCACTACCGATCTCACTCAACGGGACACCACGGAACACCACGGGACACCACGGGACACTTGCGGATCCCACTATCGATCTTACTATCGATATCACTCAACGGGACACCACGGGGCACCACGGGCCTCCACGGGACACCACGGGACATCGCGGGACACCTCTCGATCTCACGAGCGGTCTCACTATCGATCTCACTATCGATATCACTCGACAAGACACCAGAGGACACCACGGGACACCACGAGACACCACGGGACACCTCGGGATACCACATCGATCTCACTATCGACCTCACTATCGGTCTCACGAGTCGGGACACCACGAGACCCCACGGGACACCTCGGGGCACCACGTCGATCTCACTATCGATATCACTATCGGTCTCACTCGTTTGGGGACACCACGGGACACCTCGGGGCACCAAATCGATCTCAGTTTCGACCCCACGATCGATCTCACCATCGATTTCATTCAACGGGACACCACGGGACACCTGTCGATCGCACTATCGATACACCTATCGATATCACTGTGTGGGACACCAAGGGACACCTCGGGGCACCACATCGATCTCAGTATCGATCTCACCATCGATCTCACCATCGACATCACGATCGATCCCAGTCAACGGGGCACCACGGGACACCAATTGCCACACTGGCTTCGCGCGCGCATGCCGGAATCGTTCGAACGCCCTTGCGCGAGTGTCGTCGCGAGCATCCTCCGCAAAAAATGAGATGAAGTGCGCGCGCGCGCGTCGTCGCGCGCGCATGCCGTAATCCTTTACAAATCCTCGCTGCCGGGAGGATTTCACGATTGAGTGTCCACAAAACGTGCAAAAACACAATGTGTCGCAACACGGCGTTTCAACAAAAGCGTGCGCGAGCGCTCTTGCGAGTTCTTACGGAAACCATCCGTTTATTTTGATGTTTCCTCAAATGCTACCAAACGGGCTTCGCGCGCGCGCATGTCGAAATCGTTCGAAAGCCCTTGCGCGCGTGCTGGGGCGGCACGATCCGTGTCAGATAATACCATGCGAGCCACTCTCGCGCGTCTGCCGCGCGCGCATGTCGAATTCCCTTCCGAAACCTTCACCACCGACTCGAAGACGCCGTCATCGTCGTCGGCGCGATTGGCATCGGAGCCGTCACTGGCCGTGCCGTCGTCGCTGTCAGCATCGTCAACAACATCGCTACTATCAGCACCATCGTGTCTACAATAGTCGACGTTGCCATGATACCGCACCCGCCCAAGCCGCCGACTCGCACTCAACTGCCCGCTGGGGTGTGCCGAACGGTCAGACCACCGCGGCCGCGTCGGTCGCGCCAAACTACCTGGCCGCTGCGCGCGCGCATGCGCGGGCTGGCGCGGCCGCAGAGATGCACCAGCCAGCGCCAAGCACTCATCGCAATCGCCACCACATGCGTTTTGCAAACCAAGTTGCGTGTAGGTGGGTGGGATGTTTGCGCGAGCAGTGGAGTGGACAACTCACTGCGAACAGGCATTAATTGTACCTCATACGTGGCACCACTCTCAATATAGCACACCATGTATTGCTACACCTTGTTTGGTTCATATAGGTTGCACCACAACGATCGCACCAGATAGTGCACAATATTGATTGTCCTGTATAGCACAACGTAGATTGCTCACCATCGATTGCCCACCATAGATTGCTTGGGTTGGCGCGGCCGCGGAGATGCACTGGCCAACGCCAAGCATTCATCGCAATCGCCACCGCATCTGTTTTACAAACCAAATTGCGGGTGGGTTGGATGATTGCGCGAGCAGTGAAGTTGGCATTTCACTGCGAACAAAAGTTAATTCTCCTTTCTAAAAACAAAATAAGGTCTACCCCCCCCGGCGATATCACTCCCCCTTTCGGGTATGTTAATCACATATGATTCTGACCACATGTCCATCCTAACTATGAATTTACACTATCCCCGGGGGCCCTTATCCCCCCCCGAGGGCCCTTTGTGAATAATAATAATAATAATAAACACTATGCGGTGACATTTGTTGTTCGAACATAACACTTGTTCACGAATCCCTTGCAAAAAAAAGACGAAGTGCACACGCGCGCGTCGTCGCGCGCGCATGCCGAAATCCTTCCAAAACCTTCGGTGCCGGAAGGATTTCGCAATCGAGTTTCCAAAAAAAACATACAAAAACACAAGGTTTCGCAACACTGATTTGCTAAAAAAACTTCCGCGCGAGCTCTTGCGAAATCTTAAGAAAACCATAGGTTTTTTTAGATTTTCACAAAATTCCACCGAACGGGCTTCGCGCGCGCATGTCGAAATCTGTCGAACGCCCTGGCGCGTGTGCAGTCGCGAGAATCCTCTGCAAAAAAAGGGACGAAGTGCAGACGCGCGCGTGGTCGCGCGCGTACGCCGAAATCCTTCAAAACCCATCGGTTTCGGAAGGATTTCGAAATCGCGCGTCCAAAAAACCTACAAGAACCCAAGGTTTCGCAACACGGATGTTCAACAAAAGCGTGCGCGCGCGCTCTTGCGTCATCGTCGTCGTTGCCGTCGTCGTCGTCGTCGCCGTCCTCCCTCCTCCCGCGTCTGCGTCTTGAGGTTACACTGGTTTTCCTCCTCCTCCTTCTCCCTCCCTTCCTTCCCTCCGTCCGTCCTTCCGTCCTTAGAAAAAGAAAAAACGCCAAAACCTGAACTTTTGGAGGTCGGCGCGGATTTCTTGGAGCTGCGCTGGGCCCCCCTCCCTGGCGCGCGGAGCGCGACAGGGGCGACGCCAGAGGCGCCACCGGTGGGGCCCAGCGCGGATCTAAGAAATCCGCGCGGAGCGCCGAAAGATTATGCTTCCGGCGATTCTGAACTCCTTCGATGCATTCCCTTCGTCCTTCCCTCCGTCCATCCCTCCTGCCCTCCGCCCTGCCTCCCGCCCTCCCTCCCGCCGTGCTCTCCGCTCCTCGCCCGAGCCAGCGAGGGAGGAGGAGGCCCATCGCCCCCAGGGGGGCCTGGCAGGACGGTCAGCTGGCTGCTGCCCTGCAGGTCGAACCCCATGACCTGCCGGCGGACCCGCCCCGACCTGGGCCCCGGGGAGGCGGGAGGGAAGGCTAGAAGGAGAGAGAAGAGCACGCAAGCATAAACGTTTGGCGCGCCGCGCAGATTTCTCGGATTCGCGCTGGACCCCCCTCCCTTGCGCGCGGAGCGCGCCAGGGGCGGCGTCGGAGGCGCCGCCGGGGGGCCCAGGCGCGGATCCAAGAAATCCGCGCGGAGCGACAAAAGTTTAGGCTTATGTGGTTGTTCTTCTTCGAAAGGTGGCGATTGGCGGAATGTGCGCCCTGGGCGAAGATCGACGCGGCCGGGCGCGCTCGCGCTCGGTGCCGCCCCCGCGCGCCGTGGATGCACAACGCCTGAAGGGCTGTGGCGGAGACTGCTGGGCTGAGATGTCCTGCAAAGCGGAGGAACGGGCGCCTGCCTCGCCATCGAACCTTGGATCGCAGCTGCTAGGTCGAGCGCGGGGCCTGGGCGCGCGGCGTCAGCTGCGTCCAGGCGGGAAGCCGAAATCGCCGGCGACGCGCGGTGGCCGCGCGGAGGCGGGAGGAAGGGAGAACCGACAGGGAGCCGAACTCTATACACCGACGGTCTTTCCGGCCGTGCAACGGCACTGGCACGGGAGAAGCGGATCCTGGCGTGTGCGGGATCCAGGTGTACACATGTTTCGTTGCTCCCCCAGGGAACGGGACAAACAAGTACGCACCACACCACCCTGACCTCGTCCCCGACCCTCCACAAGTCCTGGGATTCGAAAAACAGCCCCGCCACTGGTAATGTAATTCTATGTTCCAGCTTCCGAGACCGAGGCAGCCGCGGGTCCTCCAGAGACGAGGTGACGCAGGTCAGGAAGCCTTCGGCGCGCCACTCGCGCCAGCCACCGGCTGACGCGAGCGCAAAAAATGCGCGCAAAGGGGCCGGTCGTACGGCCGGACCTGGGGCAGAAGAGCAGCCTCCGTGAAGAGGAGGCCCTCCGCTGGCCAAACCGAAGAACCTCGAGGTCGCCCCCCCAGGATGCACCAGAGCATCCAACAAGCACGGCAGAAAAACAGGGCTCACTACCCTCCCCGAGCCGACCACGAAGATCGCTTAACAGGACGAAGAGCCAGCGGGGATGCCGCGGGGGAGCCGCCCGGGGACGCCGGGGGGACGCCGCGGGGAAGCCGCGGGGGCCCCGCGGGGGCGTCGCGGGGAAGCCGCGGGTTAGCCGACGAGAAGCCGCGGGGAGAAGCCGAGGAGAAGCCCCAAGGGGAAGCCGCGGGGAAGCCGAGGAGAAGCCGAGGAGAAGCCGCGGGGAGAAGCCGAAGGGAAGCCGAGGACGGCCCCAAGGACGAAAAGCCGCGGGGGCCCCCAGGCCCGACTGCTGGCGGGGGACGACCACCACCACGACCACTGCCCTGCGCCGCGGCCACCACGCGCCTGGCGACCACCCCGACAACCACCACGACGACCACCACCATAATCACCACGACGGCCACCACGACGACGACGACCGCCACGACGACCGCCTCGACTACCATGACGACCGCCACCACGACCACTGCCCTGCGCCGAGGCCACCACGACGCCGGCGACCACCACCTCGACTACCACGACGACCGCCATCACGACCACTGCCCTGCGCCGAGGCCACCACGACGCCGGCGACCATAGCCTCGACCACCACGACGACCACCACCACGGACGGTGCCTGCCGACCGACCGCGCCCCCACCCCTTGCCGGGTCGCCCCCAGGGGATGGAAGAGGAGGGAGGGAGCTGGCAAGCGCGGGAGGGAGAGGGGAGGGAAGGAGGGGAGGGAGGGAGAGGGGAGGGAGAGGGGAGGGAGGGAGAGGGGAGGGAGGTGTTTCCCCCCCCGCACTCCGCCCCCACGCGAATGGAGGAAGCTGTGACGACAGCACTTCTCAGCACCGGGAGCGGGCTGTCATGCACAGCTTCGACTCCGCGGCGATCGACCGCAGAGTCTCTTCTTCCTCCGCGCTCGGTCAAGACCGCTGTGCGGGCGTACGCTGGCCCGACGGAGGGCCCCCTGGACGCTGGGTTGACTCACTTCCCGAGCGATGTGGCCAGAAAGCGCCCGCCACGGCCAATACAATATAAGATGTCTCGGTGCGCGCGTCGCCCCTGGAGGGGCGGCGCACATGTAGAACAAGTATGTTGGGGTGGCGCCGATGCAATGGTGCCAACTCGGCCACCCAATACGCTGGCTGGGCAAATGCGGCAGCATCCTTGCCCATGGGCTGGGCGAGGCGGGCAGACCGTGACTGGAGCAGACGACCAGCTCGCAGTCCAGATGCGGCATGGCCACGGAGAGCATGACCACCGCAATGGAGCGGTACGACCCCAGAGATCCCGCCAGGACATCTGAAGGACGCCCGAACGTGTCCCCTAGGGGCCTCTCCGGGTGACGCTGGACTCTTGCCAAGGGGAATCGGGCTCCCGCTTGGGGCCCGTTTTGAAGCCAGGAGACGCTCGGTTTCTGCGAACATTCGGATTTTCCTTCACGTTGGGAGAGGGAAGAGCAAGTAGAGTCGACAAGAATCCACCGACCCTGTCGGCGTGTGCGAGGGGCTTGTCTGTTCGAGTCGTCGTATCCGTCAGTCGTCGTCTGCGTCGTTCCCTTGCCCTGCTCCCTCCTCAAGCCTGTCAGCGAGAGGAAAACCTCGCAATGTCGTAATCGAGCCGAAGAGACGCCCCTTTCCTTTGATCCCTCCCCCGCCGGGGGGGGGGATCCCGGGGGGGGTTCAGATATATGCATCCCCCCCTGGCGGTCCTGGTGGGGGTCCTGGGGCTGAACAAAAAACAAAACAAGCCACGAGCGCCCCAAGAGGCACCCGAGACGGTCCAAGAAGGCCCCCAATAGCCAAACGATCGGTCCAAAACGCCTTTACGCTCCCAGATTGCCCAGGAAGCCTCCAAGACGCCCCAAAAGGCTTCCAAAGGCACTCCCGAGAGGGCCACAAAAGGCACAAATCCTTCATTTTAAGGTTTTGACACATTGGGACGGTTCGCTTTTTCTGCTTCCCGCCGCTCTAAGACGGCCGACGGCCCTCAAGATCGCCCCCAAAACGGCCCAAGAGGATTCCAACAGCGCCCGAAAACATCCCAAACGAACCCTAAGACAGCCCAAAATGCCTCCAAGACGGCCCGGGAGGCCCCCGAAACGGTTCCAAGAGCGCGGTTTGAGGGGGAACCCGAAAGGACATTTCGAGCCCTCGGCCCCGAAAAACTCCCAAGAGGCCCCAAGAGCTTCCCAAGAGGCCCCCAACAAAAACACTCAAGAGGCCCCCGCCCAGAACTCCTCCCCTGAGGCCCCCGACAACCTTCCCAAGAGACCCCAGCATCCCTGAGGCCTCGGGCCCACGAAAACGTCGTCGTCGTCACCGCCGCCACCGCAGCCATCGTCGTCGACGTCCCCCTTTCAGGGTCGGCGGCACTGGCCGCATGCCCTTCGCAATCTACCCCTCACCCCACGCGGACGGCGGAAACTGTGACAATAGTGTTTCTGAGTAGCGGGGGGTGGGTTGCCACACGAAGTTTCGATTCCGCATTGATCGATTGCAGCGTCGTCTACCTTTCGCTCTCGATGAGCAAATCCTCAATCAAGACCGCTGAACGGGCATAAACTGGTCCGATGGAGGCCCCAAGGGTTTGAAACCATCATGCAGATTGACACATTGTCCCAGTACCCAGCGTCAACCTTCGCATGGCTCAATGTAAGCCAACAGCGCCTGGAATAGCACGTTGGGATTCGCGATGTCCTCGGTCCAGGACGGTCATGCCGCTCCGGAGAGCTGTCATCCCTTCTGTTTCGTCCGCCGGTCCTGCAGGCATTCTTTACTGAAGTTGTCTGACAGGTTGAATTATGGGTCTGTCGAACAGATGGAGGACGGCTCATTTTCAAAGCGGGGCTCTCTCTCTCTCTCGCTCTCTCGAAAGATTGCGCGGCTCGAACCACAAGATTTGACTACGGCAGCGTCCGTCTGGATGAGCCCGCCGGTGTAGCAGGAGCTGCGGTCCCTATGGGGCCACCGCGACCGGCGCGTGGTCGTTGTGGCCGCACCTCTGCTGGAAGATCGGGTCGTCCGGAGCGGCGCCCCACCCGAGGATGTCACCGTCGTGCTTCCTCAGGCAGCGTGAAGACTGCGCAACGGCTGCACGGATGAAGGGCGCATCCTTCTCAAAACACGGGGCGCTCGCCTAGTAGCAGGCCCACGGGGCGGTCGCCTCTCCCAGAGGGGATGCCCAGAGTGAACAGAATGCTTACACCTATATATCGTAAGGGAAAGTTGTATACGGTGCAACATCTTGAGAAGAGGAGGAAAGCTGAGGTAACACACACACACACATCGGACAGCACTCATGACCCGCTCGCCGTGTCCCCAAAACGTGCAGCTGAGTCAAGCAAATACTGAGGAGGAGCAGCGAGGCGAGGAATAAGGAGGGAGGCCCAAAAGAGGAGACACGTGCACAGAGAAAACAGCGGCTCTGATTCAGGAAGCTGCAAGGACCTCATGAACCAAATGTATGAAGAGTGTACTTGGGACAGGAGGCTGTATTCCTGCATCGTCGACGCATCCTTGGTATTCACTCGGGTTATTATCCTCCTCGTTCCTCCTCCTCCTCCTCCACCTGCTCCTCCTCCTCCTCCTCCTCCTCCTCCTCCTCCTCCTCCATCTCCTCCATCCATCATCATCATCATCATCATCATCATCATCATCATCATCATCATCATCATCATCATCATCATCATCATCATCATCATCATCATCATCATCATCATCATCATCATCATCATCATCATCATCATCATCATCATCATCATCATCATCATCATCATCATCATCATCATCATCATCATCATCATCATCATCATCATCATCATCATCATCATCATCATCATCATCATCATCATCATCATCATCATCATCATCATCATCATCATCATCATCATCATCATCATCATCATCATCATCATCATCATCATCATCATCATCATCATCATCATCATCATCATCATCATCATCATCATCATCATCATCATCATCATCATCATCATCATCATCATCATCATCATCATCATCATCATCATCATCATCATCATCATCATCATCATCATCATCATCATCATCATCATCATCATCATCATCATCATCATCATCATCATCATCATCATCATCATCATCATCATCATCATCATCATCATCATCATCATCATCATCATCATCATCATCATCATCATCATCCGCCTCCTCCTCTTCCCTCCTCCTCCTCCTCCCGCTCCTCCTACCTCTTCTCATCGCCCTCCCCCTCCTCCGCGTCCTCCTCGCATCATCCCGAAGTCGTGATTTTGCTCGCACCATCGGCCCCTAAATACCTAGACCCCTTGACCAACCCAGGCTCTTGCTTGCTTCCGAATCGCTGCTTGACGGCCCCGGGGCCCGGCGAGGGCCCAAAGAGGCTGAAAACTGCAATAACAAAACCGCGCCGTGACCCTCGTCCACTACGAGAGAGGGGCGGGGATCCTCCCCAGGCCGGAGGCCTGGTTCAGGTACTTCGGGGTCCACGTCAGGAGCGCGTAACCCCCCCAATCGTGGCAGAAGTGCGCGGTGACCACGCCTGCCGGCCCCCCCTCGAATCCCGGGGGCGTGCGCCGAGGGGGGCGGGGAAGGGTCGAGGTCGAGGAGGGTGAAGATCTTAGAGGGCCGAGATCGAAAAAGGTCGAGGAAAAGGAAGAGGGGGAGGAGGAGGAGGAGGAGGAGGAGGAGGAGGAGGAGGGTCGCGATCGAAAAGGGTCGAGATCGAGAAGGGCCGAGGAGTGTCGAAATCGAGAGGGGTCGAGATCGGGAAGGGCCGAGATCGAAGAGGGTCGAGGTCGAGGCGAACGGCGATCGAGGAGGAACGAAATCGAAAAGGGTCTAGGAAAAGGAGGAGGAGGCGGAGGAGGAAGAGGAGGGTCGAGATCGAGAGGGGTCGAGGAAGAGGAGGAGGAGGAGGACGCTCGGACGGCTATAGGTGAGGTACTAGCGCCGCCGCCCGACGTGGCAGCAGGAGGCCCTATGCCTCCGAACCTGAATTGCATTCGAAATCCGCATCGCCTCACGGGTTTTTTCGCACACACAACCCTGGAACCATCAGGCGACGACAAGGAACAAAGGAGCACCAGTGGCTGGCTCGTCAGCCTGAACGGAAATCCGCATCCCCTCCTGGGGGCCTTGGAATACACAACCCCAGATCCACCAAGCTAAAGAGCATGAGACAGGGGAGTACCAGGGACCGGCTCATGAACCTGACGGAACAGCTAACGGACCGGGCATCTGCACAGCAGAGTCGTCCTGATGAAGATGCGTCGTGCTCAGCTTGATACTGTTGCTCTTCTGGACTCGCATTGGTCGGCAGGCGCACGGCGCGGCACGAGAGCTGCGCACGGATATCCCATAGCCCTCTGCGCTGAGGTACTGCACCGCCAGGTGGCCCTCGCAGTCGTTAGACAGAGACGTGTAGAAGGAGGCGAGCTCCTCGTTAGTAACATCCTCAGACTTTCGCAACCACAGCTCCTTAAACTTGAGGACCTGCTCCCACACGTAGGACACATCCTTGACATTCGTGCTCTTCATACTACGAACATCATTCTCCTTTCCTTTGTCGACCTCCTCTAAGTTCGGCCCATCACATGCTTTGTCCTCGACCATATTATCCACCTCATCGCCCTCAGAACGCAAACCCTCCCTATTCTTGGATTTCTCCACAAACGACTTGCTGGGAAACCAACGAACTCCGAGTGCTTCTTGACCAGATCCTTCAGGCGGCGCTCCTCCAGGAAATCTGGCTGGTCCACCTTCAGGTACCAGATGATATCGGTGCCACGCTTGATCTCCCTGTGCACCTTATCTGTGTCATTCTGCACCGTGGAGGAGCCGACGGCACCCGACTCCCAAATGTACTGCTGGTCGTCGTTGCTGTTGCTGATCACGCGCGCCTTGTCCGGGACGGGATATGCGGAGTAGAAGCCAACTCCGAAGTGCCCTATCATGTTTATGTCGCCGCCGACAGCAATAGCCTCAATGGAGGGCTTGGTGCCGGCGTTGGCGATGGTGCCGAAGATGTTGATCAACTGGTTTTTGGTCATGGCGATACCAGAGTACTCGGTCGTGAAAGTGGAGTTGGTCTTGTCGGGAACGATATTGATATCGACGTTCGGCTGCGCCTCGCGCTTGTCTGGGGCCGGGATGGACTCATACAGGTTCTTGTCCAGGGCATCGGAGGCATTGTACATGAACTCGCGCAGGGAGATCTCGTTGGGATAGCAGGTGTTGAGGATCAAGATCATGAACTGCCGAATGTCTTCACATCTACTTTGCTGGCACCCCGGTGGCCTCCGGTGTGCTGGCCTCACCGTACTCCGCGAAGTACTGTCTGCCACTCCGCAGCCGCTTGAACTGGTTCCCAAGCAGCTTGATGAGGATCGGACGATTTCTGATCTCCATAGGCGCCCCAACGCGCGCCCGCCGCGCGCCGCCCGAGGGATTCAGGTCGCGCCAACCAATCTTGAGCCAGGAGGGGAAGGAGGATGAGGAGGAGGAGATCCTGTTCCTCCTCCCGCTCCGCCTCCCCCCCCTCCTCCTTCGCCACTTCCTCCTCCCCCGCAGACATATAGAACTAGCACATGCCGCCCGCGATGGTGCCGTGGCCCTTCTGGCGCTCGACTGGAAAAAGGCTTTCGACTCCATCAATGTGCAGGCTCTTCTCGATGCACTCGCCGCGTTTGGCGTGCCCCCACACATGCTGCAACTCATTGGGAATATATACGGCTCCCGTCGGTTCCGCGTGGCAGACGGGCCCCGGAGGTCAGAAGAACGGGGGCAACATTCCGGTATATCACAAGGGTGTCCATTGTCGCCGTTTTTGTTTGTGATGGTTATGACAGTGCTCGTCAGAGACGCGGAGACGTACTTACAAGACGACGTTGCTCGAGCACTGTCTTCCGGAAGCCTTTCGGTGCTCCTGTACGCTGACGATACAGTATTAGTCGGGAGCAACGAGCGACATCTGCAACAGCTTTTGGATGCAGTTGCACGTGCAGGTGCAAATATGGGAATGGAGCTACACTGGGACAAATTCCAATTGCTTCAAATACATTGCGATTTGCGCATTGCCGATCCCGCTGGAAAACTCATAATTCCCACCACGCACATGAAGTACTTAGGGGCCACGCTGTACGACACCGGGAACATAAAGGAGGAGTTGGGGAGAAGGTTGGGTGTTGCATGGGGGGAATTTCAAAGGTATGCGCAGGCGTGGAAGCATACGTCAATCAGTTTGAAACAAAAGTTGGAAGTGTTTGGGGCACTGATTACAACCAAAGTAATGTATTTTTTAAGTAGCGCGTGGCTCAACAAAGCTGATAGACGCAGGCTCGATGGGTTCCAAGCCCGGTGCTTGCGTGTCATATTGGGCATCAAACCACCTTACATGTCAAGAGTGTCAAACAAAACCACATTGGAAAGAGCAGAACAAACACCTTACACAGCGCAGCTACTCAAGAGTCAATTGGCGTGGTTTGGAAAGATTTGTCGCAGCAGCGATGCAGATGTACTGAGACAACTTACTTTTGTGCCTCGCAGCGCGCGCCCAGCAACAAGCAATGTGAAAAGATCTCGTAGTGTTTGTACGACAAAGTCAAGGGTTGCTTCCAATCAGAACAGCGCCTACTGAAGCCATCATGGACGAAAAAGCTTGGACAGAATTTGCATCAAAATATAAGGACACATGCCCGTGAGCCCTGGCAGGCAGCTTTTTCACGCCATATAGATGCATTCATGTGTCATTCATCGTCATCGTTCTCCTCCTCCTCCCCTTCCCTCGTCCTCCCGGCACGCATTTGGCGCGTCGGCGCTGTCCTGTCGCGCGTTTGGTGCGTCTCCTGTCTGCCTACGCGTTTGGCGTTGCCCGCTCGCTCGCAGAGTTGTCCTGCCCACGCGCGTTTGGCGTATGGCTGCTTCGTTCGTTCGTTCGTTCGTTTGTTCGTTCCTCCTCCTCCTCCTCCTCCTCCTCCTCCGCCCCCTGCTCCTCCTCCTCCTGCTCCTCCTCCTCCTCCTCCTCCTCCCCTCCTCCTCCTCCTCCTCCTCCTCCTCCTCCTCCTCCTCCTCCCTCCCTCCTCCTATCCTTATTCCTTATTAGAATATACTCCTACTCCCCCCTCAGGCCGGCAGATAGGGGCCGCATCCGGGTGGTCCCATCCTAACCTGTAAAAAACAATACAAAATCAACATTTTTCTTATTTTTTCCTCTCGACATGGACGTCCTGTCGTCCACGGCGATAATCCATTGCAAAAAATACCACAAAGAGCACACGCGCGCGTTCATGTCAGAATCCTACCGAACACCGTGTGTTTGCAAGCATTTCAACATAAAAACATCAAAAACCCAATGCTTTTTCACAAAAAATCTACAAATTTCCCGCCCGGGCTCTCTTGCTGAAATCATAGGAAAACCATAGGAATCTTAAGAATTCTGTCAAATCCAGCGATTTCACGTCATCGCGCGGTGCACTCGCGATGCTCTGTCATGCACCCAGGCCGCGAATCCTGTGCAAAAAATACCACGCGGGCGACATGCGCGCGCGTCGCCGCGAGCGCATGCTCAAATCCTTCTAGAGTCGTCGCCGTCATTGGCACCGTCGCATGGACGTCCTGTCGTCCACGTCGCAAAATGCATGGCAGGAATGGGACGCGGCGCACACCCCGCGCCCGCCCATCCAATCCGTCCCATTCTAATCTGCAAAAGACAATACACAGTTTTGTTTTTCTTGTCAACATGGTCGTGCTGTCGTCACGTCGCAAAATGCGTGGCAGGAATGGGACGCGGCGCACACCCCGCGCGAAGGGGTGACATGGTACTACTACTACCACTACCACTACCAACACCACTACCACTGGTACTACTACTCCTGCCTCTTGGGGCCTCCTGGGCCCCCTTGGGGTGTCCTGTCAGACCGTCGGGCTTCCTCCGGCCACCTCTGGCTTCCTGCGGTGTACCGGGCCATTCTCGACTCGTCTGGCAATGCGTGCGCGGCATTCAACACGCGCTCGCCAGTTCCCGTCGGCAACCGCCATCGCGGCCGCATCAGCTGTACCAAACCGGCTGGCCGGTGTGACTTCGGCCCCCAGTTGTGCCAGCTTTGCTTCTTATGTTGTGGGAGGGCGGGTGGGACTGGGCATGCCATGCTTGACTCGCTCGAGCTGGCTAGCTTGACTCCCCCCTCAGGCCGGCCATTAGGGGCCGCATCCGGGTGGTCCCATCCTAACCTGTAAAAAACAATACAAAATCAACATTTTTCTTATTGTTTCCTCTCGACATGGACGTCCTGTCGTCCACGGCGATAATCCATTGCAAAAAATACAACAAAGAGCACACGCGCGCGTTCATGTCAGAATCCTACCGAACACCGTGTGTTTGCAAGCATTTCAACATAAAAACATCAAAAACCCAATGCTTTTTCACAAAAATTGTACAAATTTCCCGCCCGGGCTCTCTTGCTGAAATCATAGGAAAACCATAGGAATCTTAAGAATTCGGTCAAATCCAGCGATTTCGCGTCATCGCGCGGTGCACTCGCG